GGGGCGCTGGGCCCGCCCCGCCGCGGGCCCGTAATCCCAAAAACACACCGCGCCAGCGTTTGGGGTTGCTTTGTTTTGGTTTTGTCGCTTCTACAGCCCCGTTTGTAAATTTGGCGTTGGCAAGAGAGCCCCGCCGCGGCGTCGGTTGGTCTCCACAGAAGGCGCCGAGGAGGTTTCTGGTGAGTCCCTCTGCGGCTGTCAACGTGTCTGCCAGGTAGCCCTCAGGGGTAACGCGTGGGGGCTTCACCTCCTGCTCCCACATGGGATAGGCTTGAAGGTTTTTTTGGTGTTCTCCATCAGGACAAGGTCGTATCTGCACAGCTGTGGTCTGCATAAAAACAATCAACACGAGCTAGAAGTGAAAAATCAGCCTTTCTTGTATCATCCCCTGCTCAGGCTTACAAATAAATGACGTTCTTAAGTCAACTTCTTAAAGTCCACCTACAGTGAGGCTGACTTTAAGCCTTACCGACGTCAGTGATACCCTGAGCATATTTTCTTTGTGTCCTACACCACCTTTTGTTTTTCCTTGTGGAAAAAAGAACACAAAAACCAGCAAGCAAACAAAGCTGGTGCAGGGTCTGGAGCACATGTCATACTAGGAGGGGCTGAGGGAACTGGAGGGGTTTAGTCTGGAGGAGGCTGAGGGGAGACCTCATGGCCCTCTACAGCTCCCTGACAGGAGGGTGCAGAGAGGGGGGAATTGAGTCTCTTTAACCAAGTAATAAGCGATAGGATAAGAGGGAATGGCCTCTGTGCCAGGGCAGGGTCAGGCTGGTTCTGAGGCAGTATTTCTTTGCAGAAGGGGCTGTTGGGCGTTGGAATGGGCTGCCCAGGGCAGGGGGGGAGTCCCCATCCTTGGAGGGGTTGAAGAGTCGGGTCAACTTAGTGCTGAGGGATCTGGTGGAGTTGGGAACGGTCAGGGTGAGGTTCATGGTTGGACTGGAGGAGCTTCAAGGTCCTTTCCAATGTAGATGATTCTGTGAGGTATTGTCTACAGAGTTCATGGTTCCCTTTAAGCCAGGTGGCCCTTCCAGCTCCCTTTGCGTTCTTGACAGTTCTCTGGTGTCGTTATTAGGGATTGTACCACCGCTTCTGAGCTGGGACCAGGCATTGATCGGACTTAGAGCTAGCCCAGCCGAAAAACAGAAGAAATACTTAGGCTTTCACCTGGGGCTGCCTGAGCATCAGCCTTAGAACAGGAAAGGAGAGAGGGCAGGACATCCCTCCCTGTGGCAGTGACTGATTTCTTAAATGGTGTTAAAATAGTCATGAAACTACTCATAGCCTGTGGCAGCCTGTCCTAGGGGAGAGTGGACAGCCTCTGATTAAATGTTTGTGCATTTGTATCTAATTTTTAAAAGGTTGAATTTGGATCTTAAGCTGGAAGTGACTGTGGAGATGTAGGGCAGGAGGAGTGTCAGCAGGGTGGAGCTGCAGAAGGACTTTTCTTGTTAGACATACACAATCTTTTCCTTATTCAAAGTCTAAGGGTAGCAGACCTTCAGGAACTGCAAAGAAACATGTTCTGCGGCTCTGTCCTTTTTTTTGCTTCACTCTTCTCAACTCTGTGATATGCAGTCCTTGTTTTAACCCCAGTTTAAAGCGTGATATGGCTTGATGTCCACATACTGTCAGTGCATACAAGGTCAGCCTAAGAGATGCTGTACCTGCTGAGCTCAGGCAGAGATCCCACCCTCCAAAGGTGCCCTAGTAATCAGGGAAGCTGAAGGGTAGGACTGCAGAGCAGGCAGAGGTTAACAAGGTGACTGAAGCAGCTGTAGAAATCTCATCTGCAAATGACCTGGTAGGTACCTCATGGTGTGGGCAGTAGCCAGTGCTTTGGGGCATAGTGGCCAGCAGTTCCCAGTTACTGGAATTCCAGGAGTAAATTAATTTGCCTGCTTGACTGGACATAGAAATTGACTGGGATATAAAATGTATATTTGGGGATGGACAATCTGTCTTTCCCTGGAAGTTGCATTTATCTTCAGTCCACAGTTCAGGCCTGAGCAACTCCTCAAAGGTCATTTTCCTGACCAGCAGTTAAAATGTCAGACGACGTCGGAGTCAGACCACATGTTTTCAGTACATTAAGACAACCTCTGTGTTCAAGTAGGTATTCAGCTATGGGATTTGTGTGTATACGCTAAAGGTGGAATTTATTCCCAAGATATCTGTACAAGAATTATTAAATGTAAAATAAATCTAATTCTTCTGAATGAACTCAGCCAGGCCAGGAATTTGGCAGATTAATTTGCTTCTGTCCTGTCTGCAACAAAAATAGTTTGTAAACCTCTGCTTACCTTTCTGGATTTGTAAGTGACCGGAACCTCATTTGGAGAATCCTGAGTTTGAATTTTGGGCCAGTAACAGATCCTGTGGAAAATGTCAAGGAAATTCTTTCTACGTTTTCAAAATCCTGGTCAAATCCAATTAGCAAAGTGATTTGGTTGTACTGCTGAAAGGCTGCAGCTTCTCTAAAGATAAAGCAGACAAAGTGTCAGGAGTCGCCGAGGGAATAGCACTATTTTTAATATATTCAGTATAATAATAGAAACAGTGCTGAGGGAGGAGGACTGAACTTTTGATTAGTTTTAGACTGAATTTAAGATTAGATTTACAGGAAATAGTTATGGATTCAGGTCTTCAGGTGTGAACCTTCTCAGGCACTTTTGCACTGTTATTTGAGGTAAGAGTGGGGACACAGCAGTCTGATGCCGTTTGCTCTGGTCCCAAACCAGAATCCTCACTGTGATTCTGCTTTGACCCCAGCAGACTAGGCCCATATGATGTTTGTACCTGGTTGGCTGTGCAGACCTGAACACTGAGGCATCCGTGGAGTTTGCAGAATATGTTGCTGTATATAAAAACCTATTTCTAACAACGCTGAGATGGCTCTACAGATGGATGACTCTACCTTGGGAGTATTAATGCCCCTAACTAAATTTCTGGTGGCTTTCTTCTTGCATATGCATCAGAAGCATCTGTGAAACAATGCCACATTGACCGGAATTAATGGAGAGTAATCCATCTTCTCAGGATAGGAAAACAGCACAGGCTTAAAGGTGGGAAGCCTCGCAGCGCTGGAGTTTGACCTCGTTCCTTTTTCGCAGAATGTCCAGTTCCACTTTGAGATACACATGAAAACTGCACAAAAGCAGAGCTGCTCGCAGGAACGCTGTGGCCACACAACACATTCTTTATATAGCTGGTTGTGTGGCCATAGTTTAAGGTTTCCCTTATAAAGGTGGAGAGTGCAGATGGGACTGGAAGTGTATCCTGGTTGCAACGCTCAGAATGACTGGCCTTGTTTAGAAGTTTTAGGAGACCTGACAAACAGGACAAGTTTTAACCTGTCCTCTGTGTGTAAGCATGCTGCCTGGTGGGCTGTCATCTGCTCGGCAGAGCAGGTGGCCCTGTTATGCAGCTCCAGGGAGCTGTGCGTGTGCAAGCAGATACAGCTGTGAGAATATGCAGTGAGAGACACAGGAAAACCAGTTGAGCAGGACTTGTTTGCTGAAGTGTGTTTAGATCAGTCAGGAATTTGCATGTCCACATAAACACCAGTCATTAATTTGCCTCTCCAAGGGAATGAATGGACTTGGATGTTACATATTCAGGCCCAGGTTCTTCCCAGCTCTCTGGGGCATCTGGAGCTGGAACAGAACACTCCCAGGAAAGGGAAGGAAAGAGGGGAGATGTGTTTTTCCTCTTGCTTTAGGGGACGCCTGGGACAGCTGTGCTGCTGCTGGCTGAGATTGTCCACTTCAGTCCTTAAGATGACTGGGAAGGGTCCAAACCAAAGGGCTGGCCTGTCAGCTGGTGTGCACTGGGGGAGTCTGTGAAAATAAGGTGGGGCCAGGAAAGCCCTAAGACAGGTATGCTATCAAGTGTCAGCAGAGAAATTAGAGGAGGATATCTTGTCTCCTCCCAGATCCAGTTGTGCCAAGTGATTTGATAACATTTACAGATCATCAAATTGGTAAGACTTACGGATTAACTTTAGATTCTGCCTTTTTCCCAGTTTCATCAGCTAATACAATGCTTAAGGTGCCTCTTCTGGTGTCTTTGTTCCATGTAATAATATCCACAAAGTAGTGATAAACTGAGGTGAGAGAGAAAGCGATTATGGTTAGACTGCACACTCGCTCTGCTTGCCAGCCTGGCTGTGTGCCTCTCTGGGGTCTGAGCTGCAGGTGGAGTACATCATTCTCCCATTTGCTCGTCTGACACAACCTGTTCAATTTAACTCTAAAATGTCTTTCTCCTTCTTGCTTGCCATCTTCCTTTGCAGGGATTTTTAACAGAAATACTAAGATATATTTGGAAAAGTTCTAGAGCAAGGGTTACTTAAGTGGCATGCAAGGTGATCCCTCTGCACAGCTTTCAGCACACCGCCTGTTTCACCATTCATTTTCAGATTGCCTTTTCTTTCTCCTGGCTGCCTCTGACCCCCTTCATTTCTGTTCTCAGCATCTTTCATTTGTCTTCTCTGTGGTGGAGCAGAATCATCTGCTCTTTGCTCTGATCTGTAACTGACTTGCTGAATTCACTTGCTGACCAGTGCCAGACCTCAGGCCATAATCCCTGCCTGTGGCTTGGTATGTTGGTGATCATGAGGATGAAATCTTTTTCCACAGATTCCCCCTTACCTGGGCCCTTTCCCTGTGCCTTTCACTTTTGTCCAGGGCAGGTTTTTTACCCGTTCACCTCAGAGCACATTTTTGACTCTCATTATTCCCACACACCTCTTGCACAAAAGAGTGGTGTCTTGTTTTGAACACAGTTTAGGCACTGCCCTTTTATGCTTCGTTTGCATGTTCTCAACAAATTTCCTAGCACTGCGAGCAAGATGAGCCTGTTCTTGCACTTATCTAGCGAGTAGTTGGCTT